TATCTCAGCCCTCCCCCTCAGACTGAGGCTGAACCAGAAGCAGCACCATGTGGACAGTAGCACCATGTGGACAGTAGCACCATGTGTACAGCAGCACCATGTGGACAGCGGCACCATGTGGACAGCAGCACCATGTGGACAGCAGCACCATGTGGACAGCGGCACCATGTGGACAGCAGCACCATGTGGACACAAGGTGGACAGTCCACATGGTGGACAGTAGCACCATGTGGACAGCAGCACCCTGTTGGCAGTAGCACCATGTGGACAGTAGCACCATGTGGACAGAAGCACCCTGTGGACAGGAGTACCATGTGGACAGCAGCACCATGTGGACAGCAGCACCATATGCAGTAGCACCATGTGGACAGCAGCACCATGTGGACAGGAGTACCATGTGGACAGCAGCACCATGTGAACACAAGGTGGACAGTCCACATGGTGGACAGCAGCACCATGTGGACAGCAGCACCATATGGACAGTAGCACCATGTGGACACCAGCACCATGTGGACAAAAGGTGGACAGTCCACATGGTGGACAGCAGCACCATGTGGACAGTAGCACCATGTGAACAGTAGCACCATGTGGACAGCAGCACCATGTGGACAGTAGCACCATGTGGACAGCAGCACCATGTGGACAGTAGCACCATGTGGACAGCAGCACCATGTGGACAGCAGCACCATGTGGACAGCAGCACCATATGGACAGTAGCACCATGTGGACACCAGCACCATGTGGACACAAGGTGGACAGTCCACATGGTGGACAGCAGCACCATGTGGAAAGCAGCACCATGTGGACAGTAGCACCATGTGGACAGTAGCACCATGTGGACAGCAGCACCATGTGGACCGTAGCATCATGTGGACAGTAGCACCATGTGGACAGCAGCACCATGTGGACAGTAGCACCATGTGGACAGTAGCACAATGTGCACAGTAGCACCATGTGGACAGCAGCACCATGTGGACAGAAGCACCATTTGGACAGCAGCACCCAGTGGACAGTAGTACCATGTGGACAGTAGCACAATGTGCACAGTAGCACCATGTGGACAGCAGCACCATGTGAACAGTAGTACCATGCGGAAAGCAGCAGAATGTGGACAGTAGCACCATGTGGACAGCAGCACCATGTGAACAGTAGTACCATGCGGAAAGCAGCAGAATGTGGACAGTAGCACCATGTGGACAGCAGCACCATGTGGACAGTAGCACAATGTGCACAGTAGCACCATGTGGACAGCAGCACCATGTGGACAGTAGCACCATGTGAACAGTAGTACCATGTGGAAAGCAGCAGAATGTGGACAGTAGCACCATGTGGACAGCAGCACCATGTGGACAGTAGCACCATGTGGACAGTAGCACCATGTGGACAGTAGCACCATGTGGACAGCAGCACCATGTGGACACAAGGTGGACAGTGGCACCATGTGTACAGTAGTACCATGTGGACAGCAGCACCATGTGGACAGTAGCACCATGTGGACAGCAGCACCATGTGGACAGCAGCACCATGTGGACAGTAGCACCATGTGAACAGTAGCACCATGTGGAGAGCAGCACCATGTGGACAGTAGCACCATGTGGACAGTAGCACCATGTGGACAGCAGCACCATGTGGACAGTAGCACCATGTGGACAGTAGCACCATGTGGACAGTAGCACCATGTGGACAGCAGCACCATGTGGACACAAGGTGGACAGTCCACATGGTGGACAGCAGCACCATGTGGACAACAGCACCATGTGGACAGCAGCACCATGTGGACAGTAGCACCATGTGGACAGCAGCACCATGTGGACACAAGGTGGACAGTCCACATGGTAGACAGTAGCACCACGTGGACAGCAGCACCATGTGGACAGCAGCACCATGTGGACAGCAGCACCATGTGGACAGCAGCACCATGTGGACAGTAGCACCATGTGGACAGCAGCACCATGTGGACAGTAGCACCATGTGGACAGCAGCACCATGTGGACAGTAGCACCATGTGGAGAGCAGCACCATGTGGACAGCAGCACCCTGTGAACAGCAGCACCATGTGAACAGTAGCACTATGTGGACAGCAGCACCACGTGAACAGTAGCACCATGTGAACAGTAGCACCATGTGAACAGCAGCGACCTTGTGAACAGTAGCACTATGTGGACACAAGGTGGACAGTCCACATGGTGGACAGTAGCACCACGTGGACAGCAGCACCATGTGAACAGCAGCACCCTGTGAACAGTAGCACCGTGTGAACAGCAGCACCATGTGAACAGTAGCACTATGTGGACAGCAGCACCATGTGAACAGTAGCACCATGTGAACAGTAGCACCATGTGAACAGCAGCACCATGTGAACAGTAGCACTATGTGGACAGCAGCACCATGTGAACAGTAGCACTATGTGGACAGCAGCACCATGTGAACAGTAGCACTATGTGGACAGCAGCACCATGTGGACAGCAGCACCATGTGGACAGTAGCACCATGTGGACAGCAGCACCATGTGGACAGTAGCACCATGTGGACAGCAGCACCATGTGGACAGTAGCACTATGTGGACAGCAGCACCATGTGGACAGTAGCACCATGTGGACAGTAGCACCATGTGGACAGCAGCACCATGTGGACAGTAGCACCATGTGGACAGCAGCACCATGTGGACAGTAGCACCATGTGGACAGCAGCACCATGTGGACACAAGGTGGACAGTCCACATGGTGGACAGCAGCACCATGTGGACAGCAGCACCATGTGGACAGTAGCACCATGTGGACAGCAGCACCATGTGGACAGCAGCACCATGTGGACACAAGGTGGACAGTCCACATGGTGGACAGTAGCACCACGTGGACAGCAGCACCATGTGGACAGCAGCACCATGTGAACAGCAGCACCCTGTGAACAGCAGCACCATGTGGACAGCAGCACCATGTGGACAGCAGCACCATGTGGACAGCAGCACCATGTGGACAGCAGCACCATGTGGACAGTAGCACCATGTGGACAGCAGCACCATGTGGACAGCAGCACCCTGTGAACAGCAGCACCATGTGAACAGTAGCACCATGTGGACAGCAGCCCCATGTGGACACAAGGTGGACAGTCCACATGGTGGACAGTAGCACCACGTGGACAGCAGCACCATGTGAACAGCAGCACCATGTGAACAGCAGCACCATGTGAACAGTAGCACCGTGTGAACAGCAGCACCATGTGAACAGTAGCACTATGTGGACAGCAGCACCATGTGAACAGTAGCACCATGTGAACAGCAGCACCATGTGAACAGTAGCACTATGTGGACAGCAGCACCATGTGAACAGTAGCACTATGTGGACAGCAGCACCATGTGGACAGCAGCACCATGTGGACAGTAGCACCATGTGGACAGCAGCACCATGTGGACAGTAGCACTATGTGGACAGCAGCACCATGTGAACAGCAGCACCATGTGGACAGTAGCACTATGTGGACAGCAGCACCATGTGGACAGTAGCACCATGTGGACAGCAGCACCATGTGGACAGTAGCACCATGTGGACAGTAGCACCATGTGGACAGCAGCACCATGTGGACAGTAGCACTATGTGGACAGCAGCACCATGTGGACAGTAGCACCATGTGGACAGTAGCACCATGTGGACAGCAGCACCATGTGGACAGTAGCACTATGTGGACAGCAGCACCATGTGGACAGCAGCACCATGTGGACAGTAGCACCATGTGGACAGCAGCACCATGTGGACAGTAGCACCATGTGGACAGTAGCACCATGTGGACAGCAGCACCATGTGGACAGTAGCACCATGTGGACAGCAGCACCATGTGGACAGTAGCACCATGTGGACAGTAGCACCATTATCTGACTCTGAACATTGTAAAGTGCTTTGGGTCTGTGCCTTGGTCTGTAACATGTGCTATATAAATAAACATTACTAACTTACTAATTGATGAATATCAACCCAAAAGAAAAGATAAAATCCACAGTCAGGCCGTCACGACCTTTGACCCTGTCTCAAGTTCTTCAATAATTAAATCGTCTTCATCACTTTTTAATTCTTCCTTATTTTTTCTCATAGATTTGATCGAATCCAAAATGGTTCACAGCTCGGCTCAGAGACGTTTGTGGAGAATAGTTTGGAATCAAAATTAAATATTGTTGAATGAATTTTCTCTGACTCCGCAGTCGTGACACATTTATATTTATTTAGAAATGATCTTTTTGGATTGTTTATGTTTCTCACGGTCCTCGGTCCAGCGAGCTCCAGAACAACAGCACCTTCTCTAAGAAAAACACGTCACAATCTTCATTTCAGTTTGTTTGGCTCTTTTTCAGCAGAGTTTTCCAGTTTTAATTACAATTTATTTACTTTGAATTTAAACCATTCCCACTTTTCAAGTCACAGTGGTCAGTTAAGACAGAGTCATGGTTCAGCTCCGTCTCAGCACTTGAGCTGTAGACCCAGGACTGAGACCCAGGACTGAGGCTGTAGACCCAGGACTGAGGCCCAGGACTGAGGCTGTAGACCCAGGACTGAGGCCCAGGACTGAGGCCCAGGACTGAGGCTGTAGACCCAGGACTGAGGCTGTAGACCCAGGACTGAGGCCCAGGACTGAGGCTGCAGACCCAGGACTGAGGCCCAGGACTGAGGCTGTAGACCCAGGACTGAGGCCCAGGACTGAGGCCCAGGACTGAGGCTGTAGACCCAGGACTGAGGCTGTAGACCCAGGACTGAGGCCCAGGACTGAGGCTGTAGACCCAGGACTGAGGCCCAGGACTGAGGCCCAGGACTGAGGCTGTAGACCCAGGACTGAGGCTGTAGACCCAGGACTGAGACCCAGGACTGAGGCCCAGGACTGAGGCTGTAGACCCAGGACTGAGGCTGTAGACCCAGGACTTAGGCCCAGGACTGAGGCTGTAGACCCAGGACTGAGGCTGTAGACCCAGGACTGAGACCCAGGACTGAGGCTGTAGACCCAGGACTGAGACCCAGGACTGAGGCTGCAGACCCAGGACTGAGGCTGCAGACTCAGGACTGAGGCTGTAGACCCAGGACTGAGACCCAGGACTGAGGCTGCAGACCCAGGACTGAGGCCCAGGACTGAGGCTGTAGACCCAGGACTTAGGCCCAGGACTGAGGCTGTAGACCCAGGACTGAGGCTGTAGACCCAGGACTGAGACCCAGGACTGAGGCTGTAGACCCAGGACTGAGACCCAGGACTGAGGCTGCAGACCCAGGACTGAGGCTGCAGACTCAGGACTGAGGCTGTAGACCCAGGACTGAGACCCAGGACTGAGGCTGCAGACCCAGGACTGAGATCCAGGACTGAGGCTGTAGACCCAGGACTGAGACCCAGGACTGAGGCTGTAGACCCAGGACTGAGACCCAGGACTGAGGCTGCAGACCCAGGACTGAGGCTGTAGACCCAGGACTGAGGCTGTAGACCCAGGACTGAGGCTGTGGACCCAGGACTGAGGCTGTAAGGCAAGGCAAGGCAAGTTTATTTATATAGCACAATTCATACTCAAGGCAACTCAAAGTGCTGAACAAAACAAGAAAGCATTAAAATCATAAATAATCACAGAACATTAAAAAGATAAAAATATAAAATCCCTCAGTTGTAGCACAGTTAAACAGAACTGTCTTTAACCTGGTTTTAAACATTGTCATTGAGGAGGCCTGTCTCACATCTTCAGGAAGACTGTTCCAGATTTTAGCAGCATGAATCTGAAAAGCAGCCTCCCCATGTTTAGTTCTGACTCTGGGCACTAACAGGAGTCCAGTCCCTGTGCTCCTCAGAGTCCCAGCAGGAGTCCAGTCCCTGTGCTCCTCAGAGTCCCAGCAGGAGGCCAGTCCCTGTGCTCCTCAGAGTCCCAGCAGGAGTCCAGTCCCTGTGCTCCTCAGAGTCCCAGCAGGAGTCCAGTCCCTGTGCTCCTCAGAGTCCCAGCAGGAGTCCAGTCCCTGTGCTCCTCAGAGTCCCAGCAGGAGTCCAGTCCCTGTGCTCCTCAGAGTCCCAGCAGGAGTCCAGTCCCTGTGCTCCTCAGAGTCCCAGCAGGAGTCCAGTCCCTGTGCTCTTCAGAGTCCCAGCAGGAGTCCAGTCCCTGTGCTCCTCAGAGTCCCAGCAGGAGTCCAGTCCCTGTGCTCCTCAGAGTCCCAGCAGGAGTCCAGTCCCTGTGCTCCTCAGAGTCCCAGCAGGAGTCCAGTCCCTGTGCTCCTCAGAGTCCCAGCAGGAGTCCAGTCCCTGTGCTCCTCAGAGTCCGGGCTGGTTCATATGGGACTAACATGGTCACTAATATAGACCCAGGACTGAGGCTGTAGACCCAGGACTGAGGCTGTAGACCCAGGACTTGAGGCTGTAGACCCAGGACTGAGGCTGCAGACCCAGGACTGAGGCTGTAGATCCAGGACTGAGGCTGTAGACCCAGGACTGAGGCTGTAGACCCAGGACTGAGGCGGTAGACCCAGGACTGAGGCTGTAGACCCCCAGGACTGAGGCTGTAGACCCAGGACTGTAGACCCAGGACTGAGGCCGTAGATCCAGGACTGAGGCCGTAGACCCAGGACTGAGGAGACTGAGGCCGTAGACCCAGGACTGAGGAGACCCAGGACTGAGGCCGTAGACCCAGGACTGAGGCTGTAGACCCAGGACTGAGGCCGTAGACCCAGGACTGAGGCTGTAGACCCAGGACTGAGGCCGTAGACCCAGGACTGAGGCTTTAGACCCAGGAGGCTGAGAGGCTGTAGACCCAGGACTGAGGCCGTAGACCCAGGACTGAGGCTGTAGACCCAGGACTGAGGCCGTAGACCCAGGACTGAGGCTGTAGACCCAGGACTGAGGCCGTAGACCCAGGACTGAGGCTTTAGACCCAGGACTGAGGCTGTAGACCCAGGACTGAGGCTGTAGACCCAGGACTGAGGATGTAGACCCAGGACTGAGGCCGTAGACCCTGAAGCCTAAACACTGAATAACGTGTTTTTCTCTTCAGCCCAAATCCTCTCCATGGGATTTATCAGTCAGAGCTGCGAAAAGTCACAATCACAGTCAACGGTAAGAACAGTCTATACTATCTACAGTCTATACTATCCACAGTCTATCCACAGTCTATACTATCCACAGTCTATCCACAGTCTATACTATCCACAGTCTATCCACAGTCTATACTATCTACAGTCTATACTATCTACAGTCTATCCACAGTCTATACTATCTACAGTCTATACTATCCACAGTCTATCCACAGTCTATACTATCCACAGTCTATACTATCTACAGTCTATACTATCTACAGTCTATCCACAGTCTATACTATCTACAGTCTATACTATCCACAGTCTATCCACAGTCTATACTATCCACAGTCTATACTATCTACAGTCTATACTATCCACAGTCTATCCACAGTCTATACTATCTACAGTCTATACTATCCACAGTCTATCCACAGTCTATACTATCTACAGTCTATACTATCCACAGTCTATCCACAGTCTATACTATCCACGGTCTATACTATCCACAGTCTATACTATCCACGGTCTATACTATCCACAGTCTATACTATCCACAGTCTATACTATCTACAGTCTATACTATCCAGTCTATACTATCCACAGTCTATACTATCCACAGTCTATACTATCTACAGTCTATACTATCCACAGTCTATACTATCCACAGTCTATACTATCCACAGTCTATACTATCCACAGTCTATACTATCCACAGTCTATACTATCCACAGTCTATACTAAAGTATCTCTTCATCTTTGTCTTAAATATTACAGATGTGGGTATAGAGACGCCCAGAAACACAGGTGAGGCTGTAGACCCAGGACTGAGGCTGTAGACCCAGGACTGAGGCTGTAGACCCAGGACTGAGAATGTAGACCCAGGACTGAGGCCGTAGACCTAGGACTGAGAATGTAGGCCCAGGACTGAGGCTGTAGACCCAGGACTGAGAATGTAGACCCAGGACTGAGGCTGTAGACCCAGGACTGCGGCTGTAGACCCAGGACTGCGGCTGTAGACCCAGGACTGAGGCTGCAGACCCAGGACTGAGGCTGTAGACCCAGGACTGAGAATGTAGACCCAGGACTGAGGCCGTAGACCTAGGACTGAGAATGTAGACCCAGGACTGAGGCTGCAGACCCAGGACTGAGGCTGTAGACCCAGGACTGAGGCTGCAGACCCAGGACTGAGGCTGTAGACCCAGGACTGAGGCTGTAGACCCAGGACTGATGTGTTTATGTCGTCCTCCTGCAGTGTTCCTGCGGGTGGCGCTGGTCTCCTCCACTGCTCTCTCTGACCAAGACATCCAGAGAGACGTTCTAAAAAAGGTACACACACACACATACCTGTATATACACACACACACTTTTGTTTTATTATTTTACTGCGCAGCACTTTGGAAACGGTGTTTATGAAATGTGCTATATCAATAATGTGGATGTTTCAGTCTCTGATGATCCCTGATGTGTGTCTGATGATCCTTGATGTGTGTCTGATGTGTGTCTGCTGATCCCCGATGTGTGTCTGATGATCCCTGATGTGTGTCTGATGATCCCCGATGTGTGTCTGATGATCCCTGATGTGTGTCTGATGATCCTTTATGTGTGTCTGATGATCCCAGATGTGTGTCTGATAATCCCTGATGCATGTCTGATGATCCCCGATGTGTGTCTGATGATCCTTTATGTGTGTCTGATGATCCCAGATGTGTGTCTGATAATCCCCGATGCATGTCTGATGATCCCAGATGTGTGTCTGATAATCCCCGATGCATGTCTGATGATCCCCGATGTGTGTCTGATTATCCTTGATGTGTGTCTGATGATCTCCGATGTGTGTCTGATGATCCCAGTTGTGTGTCTGATGATCCCTGATGTGTGTCTGATGATCCCAGTTGTGTGTCTGATGATCCCAGTTGTGTGTCTGATGATCCTTGATGTGTGTCTGCAGCTGCAGCAGGAGCTGTTGGAGCGAGGTGTGACATCACAGACCCACCTGCGCCTCGTGAGCCGCAAAAAGCAGGCCCCGCCCACAACATGATCATGTGACATCACAGACTTTTATTTATCAGAAACATGTGAACAAACCGCTTCGTCTGAAAATGTTCTTTTTCCTCAGAAAGTTAGAGATTTAGACTTGTTTCTTTAGGATGTTAAAGTTAGAGATTTAGACTTGTTTCTTTAGGATGTTAAAGTTAGAGATTTAGACTTGTTTCTTTAGGATGTTAAAGTTAGAGATTTAGACTTGTTTCTTTAGGATGTTTAAGTTAGAGATTTAATAATAATAATAATAATGCATCGGTTTTATATAGCGCTTTTTTGGACACTCAAAGACGCTTCACATGTGTCATTATTCTTTCACTCCAAACACGGTGGTGATAAACTACTACTGTAGCCACAGCTGCCCTGGGGCACACTGACAGAAGCGAGGCAACCAGTATGTGCCATCGGCCCCTCCGACCACCACCAACCATTCACACACACACCAGACTCATTCTAGGCAATGGGGGTGAAGTGTCTTGCCTAAGGACACAACGGCAGTTTGGCACTTTACAGCCGCAGCCGCCCCACTGTGGCTGGTGTTCCCAGAGGTTAAGTGTCTTGCCAAGGACACAACGACAGTAGTCAGTGGGAGTCGAAGGTGAAAGTCTTGAGCGGGGCTTGAACCCACGACCTTCTGGCTCAAAGGCCAACGCTCTACCAACTGAGCTACTGCCGCCTTCAGAGACTTGTTTCTTTAGGATGTTTAAGTTAGAGATTTAGACTTGTTTCTTTAGGATGTTTAAGTTAGAGATTTAGACTTGTTTCTTTAGGATGTTAAAGTTAGAGATTTAGACTTGTTTCTTTAGGATGTTAAAGTTAGAGATTTAGATCTGGTCTCTCTCTGGTCCCTCTCTGGTCTCTCTCTGGTCCCTCTCTGGTCTCTCTCTGGTCCCTCTCTGGTCTGTTGTTAGCATTAAGCCTAGCTTTAGCCATCTCCTTTGCCGCTAACGGAACCCGTGGGGACAAGCGCCACAATTTATTCCAGAGATTACATTTGCTAAACATGCCTGTTGCTCCGGCTTCAGTTTCTTGATAGAACCAGACCGGATTACTTTACGATCGTATTTTTCGTCATCACCAAACTACAACCTTCCCGTTCGGCGCAAACTCTTGACATCACCCACATCTAACTACAATACTCTCCTCCCGCGCTCTCTGATTGGTCGGTCGAAATTCAACTGATTGTATTCGCTAACCCAGGGACCAGACCCAGACGTTACACGCAGGAGATGATTGAACAGAGTACGGATGGATAAGGCCGGGCTGTGGTTTTACAATATAATCACATAAATCCATAAATACAGTTTAAAAAGCATTAAGAGGATAATGTCAGAGTCTCAGAGATCGTTGAGCAGCCGTGTCTCACCTCTGTTTGAATAACAAACTATTAAGAAAATAAACTACTTTTCCTCAGTTCATGTTTTTTAAATGATTTGATTTTTGCTGCGTTTAATCAAATCCATTTAAATGAAGTGTTTTTTGGTCTGGATCTGGACACGCTTCTGTAACGTCCTGTTATTATTTTCTTGTGATGCTTCTGTGTCCAGGTCAACACGGGGTCATCTGCCTCGAGGACCTGATCCATGAAATCTTCTGCGTCGGGAAAAGTTTCCGCGTCGCCAACAACTTCCTGCAGCCGTTCAAACTGTCGGTGGCTCGACACGCCGCCAGAGACAAGGCCGGGCTCCTGAAGGACCTGGGGGCCCCGGGGTTCCGCAGCGTGGACATTAACACCATCATCAGACAACTGAACTGAGAGGAACAGACCAAAGACATTTAGAGACGTCTGCTCTAAAGTATGAGCCGTGAGACATGTACAGAGTGTGAGTGAGATGCAAATGTTTGGAATAAAACTAATAAATGAATGATTGTTTTTAATTCATGATGCATTTAAGAGTTCTATTGTTTTAATTTAAAAAATCACAAAATCAAAAGGAACACTGGTGCAATGATGAGCGTGAGTTACAGCGCCCCCCAGTGGTGGACACAAGAAGAAATGTGTGACATCACAGATATAATCACTCAGATTGTGCCGAAGACAGAAGTGAAACATGTTAAAGGTTAAAATAATCTGCAGGATATAATTATAAACAATAAAATGTGGCAATATCAGCAGATTCTTCAGTCCGAGTGGATTAGTGACTTATTGTACAGTCTGACAGCAATGAGGATAAAGGCCCTGCTCCTTCCACTGAAGGAACTCCTCCTCAGTCCTGTGGGAGGTGACAGGCTCCTCCGTTCCCTCACCTCCAGAGTCCAGGGGCCTCCTGTCCCTCACCTCCAGAGTCCAGGGGCCTCCTGTCCCTCACCTCCAGAGTCCAGGGGCCTCCTGTCCCTCACCTCCACAGAGTCCAGGGGCCTCCTGTCCCTCACCTCCAGAGTCCAGGGGCCTCCTGTCCCTCACCTCCTCCAGAGTCCAGGGGCCTCCTGTCCCTCACCTCCAGAGTCCAGGGGCCTCCTGTCCCTCACCTCCTCCACAGAGTCCAGGGGCCTCCTGTCCCTCACCTCCTCCACAGAGACCAGGGGCCTCCTGTCCCTCACCTCCAGAGTCCAGGGGCCTCCTGTCCCTCACCTCCAGAGTCCAGGGGCCTCCTGTCCCTCACCTCCACAGAGTCCAGGGGCCTCCTGTCCCTCACCTCCAGAGTCCAGGGGCCTCCTGTCCCTCACCTCCTCCACAGAGTCCAGGGCCTCCTGTCCCTCACCTCCAAGTCCAGGGGCCTCCTGTCCCTCACCTCTCCACAGAGTCCAGGGGCCTCCTGTCCCTCACCTCCAAGTCCAGGGCCTCCTGTCCCTCCCTCCACAGAGTCCAGGGGCCTCCTGTCCCTCACCTCCTCCACAGAGTCCAGGGGCCTCCTGTCCCTCACCTCCAGAGTCCAGGGGCCTCCTGTCCCTCACCTCCAGAGTCCAGTCCAGGGCCTCCTGTCCTCACCCCCTCTCACGAGTCCAGGGGCCTCCTGTCCCTCACCTCCTCCACAGAGTCCAGGGGCCTCCTGTCCCTCACCTCCTCCACAGAGTCCAGGGGCCTCCTGTCCCTCACCTCCTCCACAGAGTCCAGGGGCCTCCTGTCCCTCACCTCCTCCACAGAGTCCAGGGGCCTCCTGTCCCTCACCTCCTCCACAGAGTCCAGGGGCCTCCTGTCCCTCACCTCCTCCACAGAGACCAGGGGCCTCCTGTCCCGCTCTGTGCTGCCCGGGGCCCAGCACACTGCAGCGTAGTGTATGGTAGAGGCCTGCTCACTCTGAAGGACCTCAGTCCCAACGGTTTACAGTTCTGTACTTCTGCTGTAAAGACCGACCTGTGCTTAAGAGTCTAAATAAAGTATGAGGTGTTATTGGAAAAAACTGGAAAAATAAACTGGGCAAATGAATGATTCCTAATCTAGAACTGTAAGGAGTAGTTAAGGTTGGATTACTGAAGGAGAACAAATCCAATCAACCCCATGGAACTAGTTTCTAAAATATCAAATGCAGTTTTTAGCTCTTTGTGACTGATCAGATCTTTCAGTGAAAAGACAGAGTACCACCCTCCTCTCAGCCAATCAGCTCTCAGTATGTAACAGCTTTCTTTTGAGATAAAGATGTGGTCTGATGTGTTCACAATGTTACTCTTTCTGTTGGGACAAACTAATGTACTCACAATAAGAAGCAACAATTAAGTATAAAACCTCTGACTTTAGCATAATAAAGAAGCTAGTCTGAAATCTCTAGGCTCATGTGTTAAACTCTAAACCCTTCGGGGAGCTACAGGTTGCAGACCCCTGGATTGGGAACCATCTCAGGGCCGTGCGTCAGTCTGGAGGAGGGGCGTCTGTCATCACTGCGGCTCGCATCCATGCGCACTGGTCTCCCCTGGTCTCCACTGGTCTCCACTGCACACAGACCTCCAAATAGGACCATGTCTCTAACCGCCTGACTAATGAAAAGGCACAAAATACAGACACGTGTACGCGGGACTACAGCACGGCACGGCACGGCATCGCGTTGTCTCCGTGTGCCTAACATGAAGAGACTGGTCTGAATGGCCTGGACCGGGGACCACACCGACAGCCTGCCCTCATCCTTCAGGAGGTGAGTTGCTCCTGACGTTCTGCACGACCTCTAAAAACACGACATTAGTTTCACTGTGGCGTGGATGACAACCGCGTAGCAACCTACTTCCATAACATCCAATATCGAACTGCCTCCCTGCACAGCTCCTACGTTCACACCGCACGTAAATATATTATTATTTATTTATTATTTTCACTTAACTGTACTCGTCTCGTCGCTCACAACACACATTATTGCGTTATTTCTACTATTCATATTCTACCTTTGACAACCTCGACCCCTAAACTCTAAAGCCCGCCCATTGAACATTTGAGCCAATGGGAAACGGGCTACCTTTCTGTGATTGGCTGTTGGACCGGAAGTGTGTGACAGCTGAGGTGGGAGGAGCCAGCGCCATGACTGTCAGTCTTGCTTGAGAAGGGGCGGGCGTAAGACCCGAGCCGCCGCGGCTGAGGCTGTAGTAAGACACGGAGCTGTCCTGAAGAACGCGGTTATTGGAGCGAGGTGACGTAGACATGCTTCTTGTTTGTGTTTTGTGTTGTGTCCCGGGGGTGTCCCGGGGGTGTCCGTGACTGCGGGGGACGAGGCATCATGCGGCCGCGGCGGAGTTGATAATTAGCCGCAAGACACGTGTTTGATTCAGAGTCAAGTCAGAGTCAAGTCAGACTCTGGGTCCGCTTCTAACCTCTGTCTTATACATGCTCTGTCATTGTTCCCAAACTGTGGGTCGGGACACACATTCTGAGTCCCCAAAGATTCTTAGAAGGTCCACAGAAGTAAAAAAAAAAAAAAGGTCACGCTTTAGTTTAGTCCTCACTAATTAACATCTAATGCATCGGTAATAAGTGTATTATTCATGGATAACTGTCTCTAATTTGTATTTATGAAGCACTTGTTAGTACTTACTCCACATCTGACTCTTCCTATGGTTCAGGCTTAGATTACACTAATTAGAACTTCTTCAGCTGTTATAGGTTTTCTCAGTGTCTTTGGTGCATTTCTCACTCTTCACATTTTCACAACAGTTTGCACGAATTGTTCTGATAAATGCACAAACTGTAAACCCAAACCTGCAAAAGTCACTTTCTCCAAATGAAAAGTTAATTCCTCAAAAGCATGTCTTCGTGTCAATGAAACTGCGTCTCAGAATAATAAGTCCTGACACCGGTGTTTATGAACAACAGTTAAATAACTTTCTTTGTGACACTTTACTCTTTTCTGAAGCGAGAATTGTATAAAAGTTACTGATACATGAACAAAAGCATTTGACATTTGTTAAAAGGAGAAACTGCTGCGATGATGTCACACATGACGTCACACATGATGTCACACATGACGTCACACATGACGTCACACATGATGTCACACATGATGTCACAGATGACGTCACACATGACGTCACACATGATGTCACAGATGACGTCACACATGATGTCACAGATGACGTCACAGATGACGTCACAGATGACGTCACACATGACGTCACAGATGATGTCACACATGATGTCACACATGACGTCACACATGATGTCACAGATGACGTCACACATGACGTCACAGATGACGTCACACATGATGTCACACATGACGTCACACATGACGTTACACATGACGTCACACATTACGTCACACATGACGTCACAGATGACGTCACACATGATGTCACACATGACGTCACACATGACGTCACACATGATGTCACACATTATGTCACACATGACGTCACACACGTCACACATGACGTCACACATGACGTCACACATGATGTCACACATGACGTCAGACATGACGTCACACACGTCACACATGATGTCACACATGATGTCACACATGACGTCACACATGATGTCACACATGATGTCACACATGATGTCACACATGATGTCACACATGATGTCTAACTGAACTAATAGTTTTGAGAAATGCACCAAATAACAGCACCGCGCCGTACCGTGCTGTGCTGTGCCGTACCGTACTGTGCCGTAGCGTTACTGTGGAAAAGCGGCAAAAGCGACTGAGAAAAACTGTAAAGTGTTACTAAAAGTTATAACTAAATAATATAGATATTAGATCTGTAGTTAACGATTATTGAGAGTCTATCAGCTGGAATAGTATCCGTAGTATTCTTTAAACAATTTGTTGTTTTGATCCCAAAAGGTTAGTTTTGTTTTTACTGCATTATTTGTTTTTGAAGTGTGTGGTTGTTTTATAGAAAAGATCAAAGCATCCTGGGACACATTGTTGCCTTTCTGACCTCCTTCAGCTCAGGTTCAGGAGGACGGCCGTGTCTTGGTAGGTTTGCAGTGGTGCTGTACTCCTTCAATCAATCAACTTTTACATATATAGCACAGTACATACAGAATGCAACATCTAAACACACTGTAAACACACACTGTATAAACACACACTGTAAAAACACACTGTAAACACACACTGTAAACACATACTGTAAACACACACTGTAAACACACACTGTAAACACGTACTGTAAACACACACTGTAAAAACACACACTGTAAAAACACACACTGTAAACACACACTGTAAACACACACTGTAAACACACACTGTAAACACACACTGTAAAAACACACACTGTAAAAACACACACTGTAAAAACACACACTGTAAAAACACACACTGTAAAAACACACACTGTAAACACGTACTGTAAACACACACTGTAAAAACACACACTGTAAAAACACACTGTAAACACACACTGTAAACACACACTGTAAACACACACTGTAAAAACACACACTGTAAAAACACACACTGTAAAAACACACACTGTAAAAACACACACTGTAAAAACACACACTGTAAAAACACATACTGTAAAAACACACTGTAAAAACACACTGTAAACACACACTGTAAACACATACTGTAAACACACACTGTAAACACACACTGTAAAAACACACACTGTAAACACACACTGTAAACACACACTGTGTAAACACACACTGTAAACACACACTGTAAAAACACACACTGTAAACACACACACTGTAAACACACACTGTAAAAACACACTGTAAACACACACTGTAAACACACACTGTAAAAACACACTGTAAACACACACTGTAAAAACACACACTGTAAACACACACTGTAAAAACACACACTGTAAACACACTGTAAACACACACTGTAAACACACACTGTAAACACACACTGTAAACACACACACTGTAAAAACACACACTGTAAACACACACACTGTAAAAACACATATTGTAAAAACACACTATAAACACACACTGTAAACACACACTGTAAACACACACTGTAAAAACACACACTGTAAACACACACTGTAAACACACACTGTAAAAACACACACTGTAAACACACACTGTAAAAACACACACTGTAAACACACACTGTAAACACACACTGTAAACACACACACTGTAAAAACACACACTGTAAAAACACACACTGTAAACACACACTGTAAAAACACACACTGTAAACACACACTGTAAACGCACACACTGTAAACGCACACACTGTAAACACACACTGTAAAAACACACACTGTAAAAACACACACTGTAAACACACACTGTAAAAACACACACTGTAAAAACACACACTGTAAAAACACACACTGTAAACACACACTGTAAAAACACACACTGTAAACACACAGTGTAAACACACACACTGTAAACACACATTGTAAACACACAGTGTAAAAACACACAGTGTAAAAACACACACTGTAAACACACACTGTAAACACACACTGTAAACACACACAAAAGGAATGATAAAACTCCTTTCAGTAGAATGTATCGAGCTTTGGGAGCTGTTCAAAGCTGGATAAATCTGTGTTTCCCTAACCTGCCCTTGCTCTTCCTGAGGTTGATTAGTGACACACTCCGACCACGGCTGTAATTATTCTGTGACTGGATTACACACACACACACACACACACACACACACACACACACACACACACACACACACACACACACACACACACACACACACACACACACACACACACACACACACACACACACACACACACGAGGGTCAGGCGTGAGCATTTAGGTCCTAACATTTGGCTTTCAGAGATGTGTGTTACTTTGTGGTGGTCTCTCAGGGGAAGATAACAACTCTTATGTGTGTGTGGTTGTAAAAATGTCTGTGAGAAAGGTCACTACTTGTGCAACCCACTCTATGTAATTTAATTACCGACATTCTCTCCTTTTGTCACAGCTCTGTTCTGTACCATATGTTTTGGGCCTTTTCTGTTTCGTCATTATCCAGGTTTGAAATGTGTGTGACTTGTGTTGGATTATTATTATCTGGTCTTTCCTCTGGTCTGGTCTCGGGTCCTGGTCTTCCCTCTGGTCCTGGTCTTTCCTCTGGTCCTGGTCTTCCCTCTGGTCTCTGGTCTGGTCTCTGGTCTCTGGTCTCGGTCTCGGTCTCTGGTCTGGTCTCTGGTCTCTGGTCTCTGGTCTCTGGTCTCTGGTCTCTGGTCTTTCCTCTGGTCTGGTCTTTCCTCCGGTCTGGTCTCTGGTCTCTGGTCTCGGTCTCTGGTCTCGGTCTCTGGTCTCGGTCTCTGGTCTGGTCTCTGGTCTCTGGTCTCGGTCTCTGGTCTGGTCTCTGGTCTCTGGTCTCTGGTCTCTGGTCTCTGGTCTCGGTCTCGGTCTCTGGTCTGGTCTCTGGTCTCTGGTCTCGGTCTCTGGTCTGGTCTCTGGTCTCTGGTCTGGTCTCTGGTCTCTGGTCTGGTTTCTGGTCTCTGGTCTCTGGTCTCTGGTCTCTGGTCTCTGGTCTGGTCTCTGGTCTGGTCTCTGGTCTCTGGTCTCGGTCTCTGGTCTCGGTCTCTGGTCTCGGTCTCTGGTCTGGTCTCTGGTCTCTGGTCTCGGTCTCTGGTCTGGTCTCTGGTCTCTGGTCTCTGGTCTCGGTCTCTGGTCTCGGTCTCGGTCTCTGGTCTGGTCTCTGGTCTCTGGTCTCGGTCTCTGGTCTGGTCTCTGGTCTCTGGTCTGGTCTCTGGTCTCTGGTCTCTGGTCTCTGGTCTGGTCTCTGGTCTCTGGTCTCTGGTCTGGTCTCTGGTCTCTGGTCTCTGGTCTCTGGTCTCTGGTCTCGGTCTCTGGTCTCGGTCTCTGGTCTCTGGTCTCGGTCTCTGGTCTCGGTCTCTGGTCTCTGGTCTCTGGTCTCGGTCTCTGGTCTCGGTCTCTGGTCTCTGGTCTCTGGTCTCTGGTCTGGTCTCTGGTCTCTGGTCTCTGGTCTCTGGTCTCTGGTCTCTGGTCTCGGTCTCTGGTCTCGGTCTCTGGTCTCTGGTCTCTGGTCTCTGGTCTCGGTCTCTGGTCTCGGTCTCTGGTCTCGGTCTCTGGTCTGTGACTCCGCTGCCGTGGCACTTTGAAGCCGTGAGATGAAAGTACTGGATTAATGTTTGTTTTAGACCCTAAAGTGAATATGAGACTTTGTATTAATTTGACCATAACAAAGGCTCCTTGAGAACCTTAAATATACTAAAATACACTCTGCAGTATTTAAATACATTCTGCAATCTGCAGTATTTATAGCAGAGTTTTGACGTTAGTAAAGTTCAGTAAAGTTATAAAGTCACTGGTTAAGGTTAAAGGGCAGACCTTTGACCTTTACCTCACTGCAGTAATCATTGGTGTGATCAAAGCTGAAGGATACAGTACATGAGATCATTAAAATAGTGTAATAAACATTTGGTATATATATATATATGTATATTATATATATATATACATATAACTGCACTAAAGTATTTGGTTAAAATCAGAGATGCACCGATCCAGCTTTTTTACCGATACCGATACCAGAACTATGGGTTTCTGCCGATGCTAAAATGTATTTAATAATGTAACTCAGGACCCGAGACTCTGGTCTCGGGTCCTGGTCTTCCCTCTGGTCCTGGTCTTTCCTCTGGTCCTGGTCTTCCCTCTGGTCTCTGGTCTGGTCTCTGGTCTCGGTCTCGGTCTCTGGTCTGGTCTCTGGTCTCTGGTCTCTGGTCTCTGGTCTCGGTCTCTGGTCTTTCCTCTGGTCTGGTCTTTCCTCCGGTCTGGTCTCTGGTCTCTGGTCTCTGGTCTCTGGTCTCTGGTCTCAGTCTCTGGTCTCGGTCTCTGGTCTTTCCTCTGGTCTGGTCTTTCCTCCGGTCTGGTCTCTGGTCTCTGGTCTCGGTCTCTGGTCTCGGTCTCTGGTCTCGGTCTCTGGTCTGGTCTCTGGTCTCTGGTCTCGGTCTCTGGTCTGGTCTCTGGTCTCTGGTCTCTGGTCTCTGGTCTCTGGTCTCGGTCTTGGTCTCTGGTCTGGTCTCTGGTCTCTGGTCTCTGGTCTCTGGTCTGGTCTCTGGTCTCTGGTCTCTGGTCTCTGGTCTGGTCTCTGGTCTCTGGTCTCTGGTCTGGTCTCTGGTCTCTGGTCTCGGTCTCTGGTCTCTGGTCTCTGGTCTGGTCTCTGGTCTCTGGTCTCGGTCTCTGGTCTCGGTCTCTGGTCTCTGGTCTGGTCTCTGGTCTGGTCTCTGGTCTCGGTCTCTGGTCTCGGTCTCTGGTCTCTGGTCTCTGGTCTCGGTCTCTGGTCTCGGTCTCTGGTCTCGGTCTCTGGTCTCGGTCTCTGGTCTCTGGTCTCTGGTCTCTGGTCTCTGGTCTCTGGTCTGGTCTCTGGTCTCTGGTCTCGGTCTCTGGTCTCGGTCTCTGGTCTCGGTCTCTGGTCTCGGTCTCTGGTCTCGGTCTCTGGTCTCTGGTCTCTGGTCTGGTCTCTGGTCTCTGGTCTCGGTCTCTGGTCTCGGTCTCTGGTCTCGGTCTCTGGTCTCGGTCTCTGGTCTGGTCTCTGGTCTCTGGTCTCGGTCTCTGGTCTCTGGTCTCTGGTCTCTGGTCTCGGTCTCTGGTCTCGGTCT